CCCCACCGACTGGGAGAACATTTTTGCACACAACACTAATGATAAAGGACTGATCACAAAAATCTACAAAGAGCTGATGAGACTCAACAACAACAAAGAAAATAATCCAGTCAAAAAATGGGCAGAAGAGCTAAAAAGAAACTTCTCCAAAGAGGAAATGCAAATGGCCAACAGGCATATGAAAAAATGTTCAGCATCACTTGTAATCAGGGAAATGCAAATCAAAACTACAATGAGATAACATCTTACACCAGTGAGAATGGCACATATTAAGAAAGACTAGCAACAACAAATGTTGGCGAGGTTGTGGGGGAAAAAGGAATTCTCCTGCACTGCTGGTGGGAGTGCAAACTGGTCCAACCACTATGGAGAGCTGTGTGGAGATTTCTTGACCTACTAAACATAGAGCTTCCACAGGATCCAGCAATTCCACTCCTATGTATTTACCCAAATGACACAGAAACAGTAATTCCAAAGGGCACCTGCATGCCTATGTTTATAGCAGCACTATTTACAATAGCTAAGATATGGAAACAACCCAAATTCCCAAAAATAGATGACTGGATCAAGAAGATGTGGTACATATACACAGTGGAATATTACTCAGCAATCAAAAAAGGTAAACACATGCAGTTTGCAGCAACATGGATGGAGCTAGAAGGGATCATGGTTAGCAAAATAAGAAAGAAAAAGAAAAATACCGGATGGTCTCACTCATAGCAGGAATTTAGAAAACCTAAATAAGAGACCAGGAAAAAAGACTAATCAATGCAAAGTAATAATCAAAATCAACAAGCAACTATAAACCAGAGACACACTAAGTGGGGGGGGGGTTAGGGAGGGGAGGGGAGAGGAAGAACTAGAGTCAAAATAAGGGGGGGTGCAATTATATGGGGAATATAACCAAAATTAAAATGCATACATTGTACAAAGATGAAAAATGATGTAAGAATTATATAAAATAAAATATTAAAAAAAAGAAAACAATAATGATTTTCTTTTCATGACCAAGTATCAACAACAATACCTTTGCAAGGTCTACATTAATAAACTTTATGAAAAGAAGAAATTCTATTGATAAATATTAGTGAATTAGTCCAAAGAACATAAATCATGAATCAAAATATTTTATTTTTTTATTTTAACATTTGTCATTTTTTACCTTTTTTAGACAATATTTGCTTCGTCCACCCCCTCAGATTGAGTCCCCATAGAATTTCCTTCCCCAACGCACCCATGCACCATTACCACAGTCCCCTTTGCTCCTCCCTCCCTCCCTCCCTCTCACCCCTCTACCTCTTCCCCCCCCTGCAGTATATCTCTGGTTTATAATTGTCTGTTTTTGCTTTGCTGTGTTTTATACTGTTATTTTTTTTTACACTGATGTCTTATTTGGTTCCTCTATATTCCTGTTATAAGTGAAACCATTCGATATTTTTCTTTTTCCTTCTGGTTTATTTCACTGAGCATAATTCCTTCTAGCTCCATCCACGTTGCTGCAAATGGCATGAGTTTATCTTTTTTGATTACTGAATAATATTCCATTGTGCATATATACCACATCTTGATCCAGTCATCTATTTTTGGGCATTTGGGTTGTTTCCAGGTTTTACCTATTGTAAGTAGTCTACAATAAACATAGGTGTACAGGTGCTCTTTTGAATCACTGTTTTTGTGTCCTTTGGGTAGATCCCTAGGACTGGAATTGCCAGATTGTATGGTAGCTCCATTTTTTAGTAGACTGAGGAACCTCCAGACAGCTTTCCACAATGGTTAGACTAATTTGCACTCCCACCAGCAATGTAGGAGAGTTCCTTTTTCACTGCATCCTCGCCAACATTTGTTGTTGCTTGTTTTTTTGATATGTGCCATTCTTACCGGTGTAAGGTGGTATCTCAGTGTGGTTTTGCTTTGCATTTCCCTTATTATAAGGGATGTTGAACATTTTTTCATATGCCTGCTGGCTATTTCCATTTCCTCTTTGGAGAAATGTCTTTTGAGTTTTTCTGCCCATTTCTTGACTGGATTGTTTATTTTGTTTTTGTTGAGCCGTGTGAGCTCTTTGTATATCAAGTTATTTTAAAATGTTTCTTTATTAGCGCTCCAGGAAATAGATTTTTCAATTTGTGGAGCAGACTGCCTAAGTTTTTAAGCGGCAAATATTTTCTCCAACCCATTATAAAACCTGCCAAATATGAAAAGGCCTTATATCTGTTTCTTTTCTTCTTTGGCAATAACAAGAATGCCATTAATAAAGGCATTACAAGAATTCAGCTCTCCTAAAGTCATTATTAGTATGTTGAATGACTTAACTACAAAAGCCTTAGTCTTCATAAGTTTGAGCAAACTTCTTTTCCTCTAAATATCCAAGACTTCCCAGTAGCTACAGAGAAAGAACCTAGAAATTTCTTTCAAAAGAATGCATAAGAATTTCTTGATTAGGAACAGTCAATGCTTCATTAATTGTGCACCTTGGAAGGTACAACTTTAATATATCAATGAATAAAAGTAATAGTTATAAAGTACAGATGACTGCATTTTGTTTGTTATGGCAGCAGTACACCAGATAACCTCTGATCGAAAAAAAAAATTAATAAAATCCAAAGTGTTTGCAAATGATAAAGCAGGTAAATATACTAATTCATACTAAATAAATTACTGTCTTACTGTTACAAAATAATTTTCTTCTCTGGATGCCATTATTGCACCTAGCAATGAACAATGGAGGAGAATCTATTAAATACCAGGATTTAAGGGAGAATTCAAATCTCTTTAAACAAATAGAAAGTTCCCAAGTTCAGAGAAACGAACTTTGCTGTTCCACACCATTTGAGTATAGTGAAAGTGGGAATTGCTGCAGTGGTAATTCAGCAAAACTAACCTAAAAAACCTGAACACTGAAGACCTCCCCTGGTGGTGCAGGTGGTTGAGTGCTGCACTGTGAAGCTGTCCACAGCCTCTGCAGCACCGGTTCTATCCTGGCCAGCCAGGGAGATTCCCACATGGTGCAGCAGACCTCTCCTGTGTCACCCGCTGCTCCCCTCAGCAGTGTATTTCAGTCAGTCTGCCTGTTCTGTTCCCCGCTCTGTCTCTGGTGAATCCTCTCACCCTCCCACATATATGGCCTGTACCCTGGTTCTTGTATGCATGAACAAATAAATCTTTAAAAAAAAAAAAAAAAACCTGAACACTGAAACCTCATTTCCCAGGAATCATGAAGGAAATGAAGCATTCCATTAAAATGTTCTACATAGTTAAGCTTACTGCTTTATCAACCTTCAGTGCCAATGGATATCTTGCATAATTATATATTACGCACTCAATCACCTTATTAATAGTTACAAACATGAAATTTGAAATTAAACGGACAGCTCTACTATTTTCTGATTGCATCAACTTTTACAAATTACTGACCTCTTTCAAATTTCTTTGTTTATAAAAGAGGAAAGCAGTGCCCATTCTCACAAAGTTGTTGGAAAGATAGATGTAAAGCACTTAGAACACTGTCTAAAACACAGGAAGCACCTATCACTGTCACTATTATTCAGTAGAGAATTATGAACTATCTCTTATTTGTGATTCAGTACATCATTAAAATATACGACACTGGGCCTCCCCTGGTGGCACAGCGGTTGAGTGCTGGGCTGCGAAGGTGCCCGCAACCTCTGCAGCGCCGGTTCAATCCCTGGCGAGGGTCCCACATGGCATGACAGACCTCTCCTGCCATGCCCGCTGCTCCCCTCAGCAGTGCATTTCGTCAGTCTGCCTGTTCTGTTCCCTGCTCTGGCTCTGGTGAATTCTCTCACCCTCCTGCACTTCTGATTGTACCCAGTGTTTGTATAAATAAATAAATCTAAAAAAAAATAGTGAGACCTTTAAATAAATAAATAAATAAATAAAGTAGATGACACTGTAATAGAGAATTACTCATAATTGCTATCGAAGTGTGTAAGCTTTATGCCTTCTCTTGGTGCCCCTAGTCTACTTTCTAACTAAGTTTGTTAAATTAGTTACTTCACTTTATATACATTGCTAATTCAATAATACTATTCTCTGGGGAAGCTATTTACTCACTGCCTGGATTTATTCATTTATTTTCATATTTTGCTCTTTGGAATGGCTAAAATTTTTAGAGACCCCTGTGATGAATAAGTAAAGACTAGTTGTTAAAGGTAATACTGTTGGAGATGTTAAGAGCAAATAAATTGGTGAAGTTTCTTTTCCACAAAGTATATCTTCATTATCTTCATGTACACAAAACACTAAATATTTATGGAAGGGCAAATATATGTGTGTATGCACTTTTAGTATATATTATAAATTTATATTAGGTATGAAAGAATAAAGAGAATTTATTTTTAACATGTAATATTTAAATAAAGTGTTAATATTTGAAATTTATGTCAAATATATCTGACTTTTGAATGTAAATTAAGGAAACATCAATACAAGTATTGTTCTAAATTTGTCATTTTGGGATTTTTTATTAAACCTATCTTTTGAAAAAGAAAGCAACTGAACAAGATGCTGGTATAGACACACACAAACAGGAGTTCTTCTAGAAGTTTTCATTAACAAATGAACTATTTCAAAATGAAATAGAAAATTGATACTGCATCCCTCTTTGGGTTTAGTGTCATGACATTTAAAATGCTTATAATACGCCAAAGACAAATTCAGTTAACTTAGTTCCTTCTCAATAGAAGCTACTATTCTAAAACCTTACCTGGTGTGGGGCGGTTGAGCGCAGTGCTGTGAAGCTGTCCGCATCCTCTGCAACGCGGGTTCGATACCGGCCGGCCAGGGAGAAACCCACATTACGCGGCAGACTTCTCCTGTCTCACCCGCTGCTCCCCTCAGCAGTGTATTTCGTCAGTCTGCCTGTTCTATTCCCCATTCTGTCTCTGGTGAATTCTCTCATCCTCCCGCATATCTAGCCTGTACCCTGGTTCTTGTATAAATAAATAAATCCTTAAAAAAAAAAACACAAAAAAACCTACCTGGTGTGGTAAAGATAAGTGGCGTGCTCCAGTCACTCCAGATTCCTGGGCCATCCAGTCTCTTGCTCCTCACCTGAACCTCATAGGAAGACCCAGGAAGCACGCTTTCTATTAGCAGAGATGTAGCTGAGATGATTTCATTAGCCTGTCAAATATTATTTGAAAACATCAGAGCATCAAGTTGATGTAGAACCTTGAATAAAACTGATCACAGAAAGACCTCAACAAATTTCAAAGAATTAAAATTTTACAGCATAATTAGCTGGCTACAGTGCAATTAAAAAAAATCAAAAACCAAATAACAGAGGTTTGCAAATTAGTCAAAATTTTAAATAAACCATGAGTCCAAGGGAAAAAAACCACAATGACAATCAGGAAATACTTTTAACTGAATGAGTGTGAAATTGACTATTCAAAATCTGAAAGCTATAGCTAAAGTCAGTGGAAAAGCTGAAGCCACTGCTGACATCTAGAACACAAAAGTGGTAGGAAACAAATGCAAGGGTGGATAGAGAACTATACACACTAATAGAGGAAAGCATCACAGGAGGGCATGAATAATATTTAGTACCTGAAGACAAGCTAGAGGGAACCAAGAATTCATTCTAGTTTACCAAGAGTTCACTGTAGTTTACAAACTAGAAGGAAAATATCTAAGAGTCCTAACTATATAAAACAACCAAAAATTGCTTAGTAGCGAAGGCTTAACTCTGTTTTTTCCATACATAACACTAAGGATTCCCATCCTGCTCTTTGTGAACATAAAGTGTTTACAAGACTTTTTTTTTTTTACCCCAGATCTAAAAAGTATTTATCTTTAAATTATAGAGCAATTAGCTTCACAAAGTTATGGCCCAAGTCTTTACATGACTCACAAGGTTGTTCATGACCTCCTCCTTTTCCTCCCCACCACTCTCTGATTCACCCACTACTACTCCTGCCCTACCCACTGCCCTGGCCGCCAGCTTCTCATCTAGCTTAGGGTCTATTCATTGTTGTTTTCTCTATTTAGAGCCCAGTTCCCATATAGCTACGTCACCATCTCATTCTACTCCTTGCTCAAATGCCACCTTCTCAGTGAGATCTTCCCCCACCTCCACTTATTTTTACAACCCACCATCTCTCACCAGCACTCCCAAACTCCTCTCATCCAGTTCTGCTATCCCAGTGTGACCTGATGCAAGTAAAACAACCCTTAGCATCTGGTAGATACTTGATAAATACTTACAGAAAGGTGGAAAAAGGATTTAACATGCTTTACAGTACAAATGCATGTAAACCTATCAAGCAATAAAAAAAATAAGATTTAAATATAAAATCATAAACCAGAGAAAATCTGAAAAAAAAAAAAAAAACTAAAATTATGGTCAAAAGAGGGGAGGGAAAAGCACAGAGGACTATGGTGATGGATTACAGGGACTACACATGAAGGGAGAATGATGATGTAAGAAAACAAATTAATTTAAAAGATAGAGACATTGTAAAAAAGATCACGAATTTCTGTGACTGGACTTCCTATAGCCATTTAGGGGTGGGGTGTGTGTGTGTTTATAAATGAGAGGAAGGCAGGGGGGACAATAAGAGGGAGAGGGTAAGACTGATTTAATAAACATAAACTTTTTTGTAAGGGGAACTATTTCTGGCACTTCCTTCTCAGAGGAATTAATCATGGTCCTCACAGATAACATGTATCCATATATAGGAGATAATTGAGTACATCGAACAAAAAATTTTAATGCATTTTACAAGAAATGTAGAAAGGCTGTTCATATATTTATTTTCTAGGTTGATCTTAAATGAAAGTCAGTAGTATAATATCCATCATAACTCTTCAGCTCTGGAAGGAGCAGGCACATTTGGCATGCAGAGGATATTTTCTATGGGACTAGGAAGGGGATCTCATCTTTTGTTGCTTCTGAACTTTTCATTTTATTCACTAAAATATACTCACTTTTCTCATACTTGTAGAATTCTCTGAATATTTGACTTGATATTGAAGTTGAAATGGTGTGAATGTTAAGCTGGACCAAGAAATCTTTAAACTGCCAGTGTCTGTAATTTCCATATGCAAACCAAATGGTGGATCAGGTTTCACTTAAGAAAAAAGAGACCACTTTTAAGTCAAGCAGTTTTCATGATAATTATAAGGTGAAGTCAAAATGAATTTTGAGCATATCCTAGTCTTTCAATTACTCAGAGGTGACGCTATTAAAATCTAAGTACAGAACCAAGATACTGGGTCTACTCTTTGTACTTTACCAATGCAATCACATATCTTCATTTCCTTTTCAAGTGGAGAAAACTACAATTGAAGTTATGATGACAAATGTGAATTCATACTATAAAAATACCTAATTAACTTTATTTAACTTGGCATTTCCCAAACTTATTTGAAAGCTACGCCCAATGCACACACACTATTTGAGTGAGTACCATGGGAAAAAAAGCATTTTGCAGAGCATACTTGAAAAATGCATACATAGAGGGTCTGCAAAAATTCATGCATAAATATGCATGCAATTTTCAGCAAATAATTTGAAATACAACAATGTAGATAAAACTACTCAAACAACCCACATCATGCATTTTTACATGTAACAAACACAGTATTAGCAGACCCTGTGTCTTGTCACCAAAAATGAGAATGGAGTTTCTTAGTCTGATAGTGTTTAACTTGTTAAATAATTTCTGAGTTCATATGTATATGTTGTATTTATGTATGTATATGCATGTGCATATATAAGTATGTGGAGATGTATGTGCATACGTGTACGTAGTTTTAAAAATATAATACTTTTACATAATTTGTAGAAACACTGTAAACATCTTGCAAAACAGAACTGAATATTAAAAACATTTAACGTTGATAGTTTTGAAAATTTATTAAACACATAAAACTTAACAATGAAAAAAAACACCATTAAAAAATACGCAGATGATCTCCACAGACACTTCTCTAAAGAAAACATACAGATGGCTAACAGGGACATGAGAAGATGCCCCACATATATCTTACTATCAGGGAAATGCAAAACAAAACAACGAGATTTCACCTTATATCTATGAGAATGTCTATATACAAGCAACAAGAAAGTGTTGGAGAGGATGTGGAGAGAAAGGAACATTATACATTGTTGCTGGGAATATAAATTGGTACAGTCATATGGAAAACTGCATGAACTTCTCCATGACACTCTAGTCTCCATTCAGCTCAAATACTAACTCCTAAAAGAGGTCTTCTTTGACCTCCATACCTGAAAGAACAGCCCTCACACTGACTCTCTCCGTTGCACCATCTGTCTTACTCAACAATTATTGGAAGTTATTATATAGGACCAAATATAAAGGAAAATTTTCCCCAAAAAATTATCAATGAAAAAAGGAAAAAATTCCTTCTAAAACTTTTATAAAACCCATCATGGCATTTTCTCTTAACTATTTTATTTTTAAAAACAATTCAAACCAATGCTGGCTCTAAATGTTTCTAAAATATCACTTGATAGAACTGTTTTTTAAAAATGATGATATTAATATTAGGTTTTGTATTTTTTTTGCCCTTTACTATAACTTCATGACTGAATTGCTTGGATTTACTGTAATTATGTTGTGGGGATCACAAATCTATCACTATAGGACAAGTTATTTTAAAATCCTAATGTTAAAATATGGCATATGCAGATTCAAAAAATTTTATCTCCCCAGTAATTTAGAAAGAATTAAAGATGAAGTTTGTATGTGGAAAATTCTGTCAGATACCTGCAAAAGCGGCTCCAGTGATGTAAAAAATAATGATGCAAAGATACATGTTAAGAATGCTTATAACTGTTTCAGGAAATATGAGTGGAAAATAGTAAAATTGTTAAGTTATATGTTATATATAATATATAATTTAACATACATACACCAAAGAATTAATAAATTACTTTAAGTCAACATCTACTTACATTATTCACATTTGTAATTATATATTCAAGTTGATCAAAAGAAATTTGGGGAGCTGTGGCACTGAAAACATGAGGCATTACCTATCATTTGAGTTCTTCTTAAAATCATATTTGTATAGCAAACTGCTTTCTTGTTTACTTGTTAATTGTTTATCTCTATCCACTATTTTGTCCCTGCTTTATGATTCAGGAACTTTGTTTCACTTGCCATTGTTACTGCAGTTCTTAAAACATGAGCAAGAAATATTTATTAAAGGAATAAAATTCAAGTTTAAAAGCTTCCAATTATTTCCTTAGTTATCTGAGATGGGAAAAAGTGATAACCAAACAATACATATCCATTACAGATTTAGGATTTATATCAAACTGTTTTCAAGAGAGAATTTAAGTTACAATTACAGAACTATTTCTTCTACTGTCAAATCATCACAGAAACTGCTTTTAATACTTTTAATTCTTCCAAATATCACCAAAGCAACTTTGGTCAAAGCAGGTAAGCTAGTAAACAACTTTATAAGCAATTTTTCACCTGTCTGTATGACTGAGGTTTAAATATAATACTTTTTTTTTGTGCACAACTTACCAACATTTATGGGCTGAACTGACATTAAAGGTGACTGAAAAGTTACTTCACCAGATGTGATTTTCAAGTACATAAGGAGAGTATAGTTGAGTTTGGCTGTTGGCACAGGCACGTGGCATTGACAGCACTTGTGGGCACTGCAGTCGCACTGAAGGATCTGAAAACTGCCTTTCTGGGGAACCCGAGATGGTTCTTCTACCACTTCTAGACTATATGAAAAAAGAAGAGCTAAATATTAACATAGATGTGATAATTATAATGAAATGCACACTAGATATAATTAAAATATAGTCCGCTAAATTCAATTTGAGGTACACTCTTCTGGAAATTCAGCTTAAAGGGTATCTGGAAAAACAGATTCATCGCGTGAGAAAATCCAAAAGTTAAATCAAATTAGCTGTTATAAATAATTTAACAAGAAGAATGTGAAGCAACAGTGAAAAACTGAGAGGAGAGAAAAAGTGTCATCCTAAAAACCTACAACCAGTGAAAATATCATTAAAAATAAAGAAGACACAGGGCCTCCCGGGTGGCACAGCGGGTTGAGCACTGCGCTGTGAAGCTGTCCGCAGCCTCTGCAGTGCTGATTCAATTCCCGCCGGCTGGCGAGAATCCCACATGGTGTGGCAGACCTCTCCTGTTGCGCCCACTGCTCCTCTCAGCAGTGTATTTCTGTCGGCTGCCTGTTCTGCTCCCTGCTCTGCCTCTGGTGAATCCTCTCACCCTCCCATGCCTCTGGCCTGTACCCCAGCTCTTGTATAAAAAAAGCAACACTAATAAATCAGAAATAACAGCTCTCTGTGTCTTGGTTGCATGCTGTTACTTGTGCACTGAGTCTGTAACCGTACTCTAAACCTATACAGCTAATTATAATTATTTTTTAAGATTTACCCATTCATTTGTAGGCTTACAGAGATAGGTAAGGTATTGCTTAAATTTTTTGCCTTTTTTTAGGGGGGATAGCTTTATTGAGTTTAATTAATTTACAATAAACTAAATATTCAAAGTATAAATTTCATAATTTCTGATATATATATACTTACAAAATTTCTTCCTGCCCCTTTATAATCCCACCCTCTGCCCTTGTGGCACTCACCTTTTCTCTCACTCAGTGTGAATGACAATTGGCATGTTTATTTTAAAAATAAAAGGGAAGTAAAAGATACTTGCACAGACACAGTGAGCTGCCCCTGAAAGGGACAGAGCTGCCCCTGAAAGGGACAGGTTTATGAAGAGAGACGCCTGCATAGTCACAGGAGGGCTGCCTTGGGAGGAGAGCTGCCTCTGCTGCTTTGCAAAGGGAAGAGGTTGGCGAAAAGAAACACCTGCATAGAAACAGGCATTTCCATTACAGTGCGCTTGTGTGTGTTTGCATATGTTAGCTAATTTCTTCTCAATCTCCTCCTTCCACTTACTACTTTATGTAAGGATACTTGGTGATAAAATAACTACACAGTTTAGTATTTAGCATACAGAATATTTGTTCAGGTGGGACTGAGACCGAATGGGAGGAGAAATTAATATTGCCCAGAGACTGATCTTGTAAATATTGCCCAGAAATGTGAAGAGTAAGAATTGGGGCACAGCACCTCCTCATTTAAAGGGCTGGAGATTATCTCCTTTGGCTTAAAGTGTTGCATCTTTTTTTTTTTTTAATAGAGGCATGTTTTTATTTATTTGTTTGTTTGTTTGTTTGTTTTGTTTATACAAGCACTGGGTACAGTCAGAAGCACGGGAGGGTGAGAGAATTCACCAGAGCCAGAGCAGGAGCAGAGCAGGCAGAAGGACCGAAGTACACTGCTGAGGGGAGCAGTGGGTGGCAGGAGAGGTCTGCGCGCCATGTGGGACCCTCCTCTGGTGGCTGGGGAGCAGCCGGGCATCGAACCGGCGCCGCAGAAGCCGCGGGCAGCTTCGCCGCAGAAGCCGCGGGCAGCTTCGCCGCAGAAGCCGCGGGCAGCTTCGCCGCAGAAGCCGCGGGCAGCTTCGCCGCAGAAGCCGCGGGCAGCTTCGCCGCAGAAGCCGCGGGCAGCTTCGCCGCAGAAGCCGCGGGCAGCTTCGCCGCAGAAGCCGCGGGCAGCTTCGCCGCAGAAGCCGCGGGCAGCTTCGCCGCAGAAGCCGCGGGCAGCTTCGCCGCAGAAGCCGCGGGCAGCTTCGCCGCAGAAGCCGCGGGCAGCTTCGCAACCCAGTGCTCAACCACTGTGCCACGGGGAGGCCCTTAAAGTGTTGCATCTTAATAGAGGAAGGCATAGAGTTACAGTTCAAGCAAGTGTAGAGAGTTACACAGGTGTTAATGCTAAGTGGCAAAAAGGAGGGAGACTAGAAGGCTGATGAAGGAAGAAGGAACTAATCCCTTCTTGATTTACTCCCCATTTTCAGAAGTATCAGCCCTGTAGAGATTCTGCTGGGTAGCTACAGTTGGTTCCAGGGTTCCAGTAAGCAGGGTTTCATCCCCCCTACATTCTCAGAATTAACCACATCGTATGCCTCCTCAGAGTTCACTGTTCTTTCAGAATATATGCCCATCCACATAAAAAAAGAGATCTAATAGAGAACACTATCAAACACACCACACACACACACACACACACACACAGTGCCTTCAGGAGATGCATAAATATAAACAGAAATGTAGGAATAGGAGAGATTTCCTAACCCACTTCTGTATACAGAAGCTCTTGCTTTAAAAAAAAAAAAAAAAATTCGTGTCACAGAAATACCCAAATGCATTTATTTAGTTTAATACTTACAGAACATATAAAAGATGAACCTCAGGGTCATAATTCTTGAAAGGATTCTTAAATGATGACTCCATATAACAGATGAATAATTTCAAGTCCTCTTTCATCCAGCACTGTATGTTCCAGTTTGCACCTGAATTAAAAATAGACTAGATTAAATCTGAAAAACATTCTAAACAACTCAGTGAGAGAGAAGAGCTAAATTAAATTTACCAGCGTTCTAATACAACTTCCATTGACCATTCTGAGCTAAAAAGCACAGGCTCTAACTAGTGGTATGTGTATGCCCAAGTCTCTTAGTTCCTCTGGCCTTCAGTATCTTTTTTTGTAAGTTAAGGAATTAATTTCAATTATTGTTTCTCAAACCTTTTTTTTAATCCTAAACCACTTAAGTAAGACAAAAGACCTCAAAACTCACCTATTTCAGTTTATTCCCACTTACCAAGAGAAAAGAGAACATTAACTATCAAGGTATAAGCAAATCTGGAGCGCTATTTATGTGTCTGCTTTAGCAATAAAGGCACAGTGTTTCACATTTTGAACTATGACACATGTCTTAAATCCTTGTTATTGTCATACTAAAGGTCCCAAGTACAATTAATGCAAGTATATTTCACAGCACATTGAAAAACCCGCCTGAGAATAACAAAGTATTGGTGACCTATAACTTAAAAAGCAAGAATGATCATAGAAAATCATGACTAACTTTTAACAGTAAACTAGCTTAAGGCAATACTGACATATTTCCTCAAACCTGATGGGTTTCTGTTCATATGAATCCTATGAAGTAAACAGCCTAACTCACAGAGTAATAAACTGAAATATTCAGTGGCCACAAATTGATAAATTAATTTTAATTACAAAAATTTAAACTCATTTATATGTAACTACTTAATAGCGTTAATTTATATGCAAGACTAAAACTCATATGTCATCATAATCATTCCTCTTAATAACTAAAGCAGTAACTTTTTTTTTTTTACAATTTCAAGGCTAATCACAAGGAACCTGACTTCTTGAGTTCATTCTTGGTATGTATAATACTCGCTAGAATGGCTAAGTTAAGTTCCCTCAAAATTTAAAAGAAGTGCTTCATTTAAAACTAAATTAAATGGTTATAGACAGTAGACAATACTTACTAACTTGTTTTACAACATTTTATTGCATATTTAAGTTTATTCCTATTTTTAAAATGATTTCAATATACTGGAGTGCTACTTCTATCCATCAGTGATGCTGATTGCCCTCCAGGAGACATCTGGCAAAGTTTGGAGATACTCTTTGTCAGAAGTGACAATCTGTGCCACTACTGGCATCAAGTAAGTAAAAGTCTGGAATGGTGCTAAATATCCCACAGTGCACAGAACAGTCACCCCCACAACCCCAGCCAGGAATGATTTGGCCCAAAATGTCAAAAATGCTGAGGTTGAGAAATTCTAATTAACCTATGGGAATGTTATACTTACATATGATTTATTTTCACAATGCAGTTCTCTTTATATGGCCAAGTCAACTGACTCCATTTACTTTTTCAAAAAGGCTTGGCAATAATTTTTTTCTTAGATTTCCATATGCAGACTTATTCACTACACCAGCTACTTTCAGTATGTATTGAACAACAATTTAAAAAAAAATCCTTGACTTAAAATACAATGCTGGTTACAAGAGATTCCATGCTTGAGCAAAACATATTATCCATAAATGCTTTAAAATTTATCTACTTCAACATGAATATTAGACATTTGATGGGGCCTCCCTGGTGGCGCAAGGGGTTAAGCACAGCACTGTGAAGCTATTCCCAGCCTCTGTAGCGGGAGTTCAATCCCGGCCGGACAGCCAGAGAGCTACACACATTGCACAGCAGACCTCTCCTGTCTCACCCACTGCTCCCCTCAGCAGTGTATTTCAGTCAGTCTGCCTGTTCTAGTCCCCTCTCTGTCTCTGGTGAATCCTCTCACCGCCCCCCTGCACCTCTGGTGTGAACTCCAGTTCTTGTATGCATAAATAAATAAATCTTTAAAAAAATTAAAAAATAAAATTTATCTATTTCAACACCATTATTAGATATTTGATATTTTGTTTAAGAAAAATAAGGAGATTTTCTATTTTAAAGCCTATTTAGAAGTCTAAAAGACACACATTTAAAGAAAAAAAGAGTTTCCTCATTACATTTTTATTTTAATGTATTTACATATAAAATAATTGGAGCTTAAAAGTTTGGTCACATGATAAATCTAATTGTGTGACTAATATGAAATGATGACATATATTCAAAATCATATTCATAAGATAAATATTTCAATATTTAAAAAGAAAACATTTTGTTCAATACTAAGTAATACTTACTTGTTGGTTGAAAAGCTAAAGAATTTGCTGTTGAAACAAATGCCTTCCCATCAATGTCTGCATGCACAGAGCAGCTTTGATCTTCTTCACTCCAAAAACAACAAGGAAAAGTTGCTTGGGACATTACATTAGAAAAGTAGGTGGTAGTTGAATTAAATTTAGCTTCAATAACCGCCTCATAATGTCCATTCAGATTCGAAATGTTCTTTGAGATTCCAGCAGGCAAGAAGTCATAGGTTGTATTTGGTGGCATGCAAGACAACTTAAATGTCCAAGGAGTAATTGGATAGGCCACATTAAATGCAGTTATCACATAAACAAATTCTGTTAGGACATTAAAAAGACACAGAACAATCATTTTGATGAAAATAAAAATAGTAGGTTTCTAAAACTAAACTTTGTGGAACTCAATAGTAATCACTTTATTTTCTAAGTGCTTAATCACTGCCTAATGCAGTGTGTGTACTTCCACTGTACAACATGTTATATTTGGAGGTGCATTCAGAGAGATAATTTCATCTTCTAGTACACCTTTATGGAAATTTATTTCTTTTCCCTATTAATCTAATATATTTTATTTATATTTTAAGGAAAGAAAATAATACCAATTTCAATTTCCTTTCCTAAAAAAAAATTATATTGAATTTCCATCATACATGGGATATAATGTGAATGTATAATACATTAAAAAAAATTAGGACCTAGAAGAAAAGGTGAACACTTGGAGCAAGGATCCATAATAAAACAGCTTAGCAAATGTTCTTTACACCTAAGCACCATCAGTATCCTTGTGGACAGTATCATAGAAGGAACTAGACCCTCCAAAAGAGATAACAAAGTTCTCAAGAGTCAAAGAAAAATGTGTCTCATTTTCCATTTAGAAAACACAATCTGGTGTATTAACTACTATATAGTAAAATAACAAAGTGTCCTTCATTTAAAAAAATTAAACTGGGGCCAGCAGATTGAGCAGTGCTGTGACTCTGTCTGCAGCCTCTTCAGCGCGGGTTCGATTCAAGGCCAGCCAGGGAGATTCCCACATGGTGTGGCAGACCTCTCCAGTCGCATCCGCTGCTCCCCTCAGCAGTGTATTTCGTCAATCTGCCTGCTCTGGTGAACTCTCTCACCCTCCCGTTCCTCTGGTCTGTACCCCTGCTCTTGTATAAATAAATAAATCTTTAAAAAAAAAAACTGCTGTTTTAATACATCTTAAGGGAAATGATACTGAAATGTTAACACTATCTTCCCTGAGTGCTTTGAGAAAGGGTGTGTGTAACATCAACATAGCTGGATGCTCTTCCTGTACCTGTGATCCTAGCTTTATGATATCAATTAACAGGCCCCTAATGCACTCTCCAAAAATTGATGCCCAGTGACAGACTTCCTATAGGAAACTTTCACCACTGATTAAAAACAATTACCACTTTTTAGACACATAACAATTAAACAAGTATTTAATCCTGAACAAAAAAATCTTCCAAAGTGGTACTTGTTTTTTAAAAATTTTGTTTGGAAATAAAATAATTATCCATAATTCTTTCTTTTACAAGTTACCCAAATCAATTGATCCAATAGCTATGTTGCTTCATTTACAAAGTAATGCAGCAGGACAATTCTGAGAATTTTGCAAGGTTTTGTACAGAATGGCAATTTTTTCAAGGATTAGGATAAACATAAAAACAAAAAATAAAAATTTTAGAAAGCAATTCATGAATGCATTGTTTTAAATTACAAAAGTAATACATGTAAAAATATCCAAATGATGTGATAATATCCTGTAATATGTGAAAGGAAGAACTAGTATAATTTAATTTCTGAAACTATTCTTCTGCTGGTGGTATTCTAAGTGAAAACTTGCAAGGTATACCCCATTCCTTGACAACATCCCCTTATAACATTACATGTCATTTTTGCCAGAATTAGAATTGAGAATGGCAAATAAAAATGCATCTTTCATTTGAGAATAAACCCATAGTCTGTGCCAATGTCATGTATTTTAAATACTGTCACCAAGCACACTGCTCCTTGACACAGAGAATTAAAGTTTTGATATATCATATTATGCACATTTATAATTTAATATTGCTGCATTATTAAATAAAAGTACCTATAAGAGTGTATATTTAAATTTTCTGTACTATAAAAGAAAACAAAGTTAAAAAGCAAATGATCAGGGAGGAAAAAAAATCACAAAGCAGAATAAATTATTAGGGCTTGTGATTATCAATTTTAATTGCCAACTTGACTGTGCATGTTGTGCTGAGATTTTTGTTCAAACATCATTCTGGATGTGTCTATGAGGATGTTTCTGGAAGGATTTAACATTTGAATCAGAGGACCTAATAAGGCAGATCGTCCTCTCTAATGTGGGTGAGTCTCATCCAAACCTTGGAAACCTTGAATAGTAGAAAAAGCCTGAGTAAGGAAGATCGTTAGCAGCCTTTTCCTCCTTCAAACTCAAATTGAAACATGGGTCTTCTTGGGTCTCAAGTCTGCCAGCTTTCAGCCTAGAATGTAGACCATCAACTCTCTTGAGTCTTCAAGTTGCCAAATACAGATCTCAGGACCACTCAGCCTCCACAATCATGTATGTCAATTCCTTGTACTAAATCTTTCTACATATATGTGCATATAAATTCCTTTTGTACTGTTTCTCAGGAGAACTCTAGTAGGGCTAAATATTACATTTTATAAATTTCTGAAAATCATGTAGGATCAATAAAATCAAATAACAAAATGGTCAAAGTATATGAATTAGAAAATCACATAAAGAGGGGTATCCCCTGGTGGCGCAGCGGTTGAGCGCTGGGCTGCAAGGCCGCCCGCAGCCTCTGCAGTGCCGGTTCGTTCTCTGGCTGCAGGCGAGGGACCCACAAAAAAAAAAAAATCACATAAAGGGCCTCGCTGATGGCACAAGGGGTTAAGTGACATCACTACGAAGCTATCTGCAGCCACTGTAGCATGAGTTTGATCCTCAGGCAGGGAGGAAACCCACATGGTGCCGTGGACCTCTCCTCTCTAGCCTGCTGCTCCCCTCAGCAGTGTTTCAATGGATCTGCCTGTTCTGTTCCCCCACTCTGTCTCTGGTGAGTCCTCTCCCACCCTGCACCTCTTGCCTGCACCCAGCTCTGATATGCATAAATAAATGAATCTTAAAAAAAAAAAAAAGAAAGAAAATCACATAAGAAATACAAGTGGCAAATAAAGAGTGCTCAATCTGGCAAATAAATGAAATTGAAATAATATACCATATTTTTGCTTATTTAACAGGGCAAAAACAGTAAAAGAATGCTAATATGCATCTCTGGCAAAAATGCAAAGGAATCAGGACTCACACAAGAAAGTTTGTCATGATAAATTGAAAAGCTATTGAGTAGAAAAAGAAGATGCAGAACAACATATATAGACCATATTTTTTGCAACTATAGATTGAATTGTGTGTGGGATGTGTGTTATGGTCTTGAAAGGGTACACATCGGATCATTTGCAAGTGATTAAAAGGGTTTTTGTTTTCACATGTACACTAAGTACTGTTCAGTTTGCATTTTCAATCATGAGCATAAAAATTCTTAACTGGAAAGTGGTAAATTCTGTTAGCCAATTAAAGAAACAGCATCTCTGAGGGTAAAATACCTTACATAAAGACATTTACAAAACAAATAACTTACTTACCCCAGAATAACAGAGCGACATAGAATTTTTGACAAATCATCTTGCTTCAGAGAAATATACCTGAAAAACAGTAAATCACAAACAAATATATACACAATACACATACAAAACTCACAGATATGCAAGGAAAGTATAAAAGAAAAAGGATTATAAGCATGTCCATAAAATTTAATCCTCTATAATAGTCTGGGTCAATATCGAGATGTGCCTCACTTTAAAATATAACTGCAAGCTTTAGAGTAATTCCTATACACATGCTATCTTATGCAGTTAAAATATGACAATCAAAAAATGTTCAATGTTCCTTTATGTCATGACAAAATGGAGGAGACATCACAAACTGAATTTAATCTTTACAAATGCAGTCAATCTAATAGTATTAATATCAATATCTTTGTTGCTTTTCATGCTCATCTTTTAAATTTCTCTTATTTTCTTAAGTATCTGTCTTTACTATGATACTACAAAGCCAATAGTCAAAGTACCGGTAATAACTGTACATTTACTTCCAATAATAAGGTGGAAATTTTCCAATATGCTTTTGGAAACCCACTGTTCATTGCAAGTGAGGCAACGTCCATATTGGAGAGATATAGAATGATTCAAGAGAAAGTTAATGGCTTAATATATACAAATGATATGGCGGGGATGACTTTAGAGACAAGATTTACCATGAATTACACTGAACTTGAAATATATCATTTATAAGATAATTTATATTATTATGCCATGAAGTAGAATGGTAGTATAATTTTAAATATATTGGACTTAGATTTGTAATGAAACAGTAAAGGTTTTTGATGTTCCAGTAATTTTTTATTATCTTAAATTGGGAATTCCGTTTACTACATGAAAGTTCCCCAAGGTAACCAAGGTAAAAAATTCTTCAAATAGGTATCAGGGGGGCCTTCCTGGTGGCACAAGGGGTTAAGCACAGCACTATGAAGCAATCCGCAGCCTCTGCAGCACGAGTTCAATCCCCAGCCAGCCAGGGAGCTACCCACATGGCGCAGCAGACCTCTCCTGTCTCGCCCGCTGCTACCCTCAGCAGTGTATTTCGGTCAGTCTGCCTGTTCTGTTCCCTGCTCTGTCTCTGGTGAATCCTCTCACCCCACCCCCACATCTCTGGCCTGTACCCCAGCTCTTGTATGCATAAATAAATAAACCTTAAAGAAATAAGAAATAGGTCAGGGTTCTTTGACATCAATCTAGGTTGTTTCAATAACCAGCTGTAGGACTGATAGGGACTTCGAAACCCTAGACCTCAGATTCCTCATCTACAAACCCAGTTGAGAGATCATTTCTACAATCCCCTTGAGAGCTCCTTATGATTCTGAGAAACTTTATTTTAAAATAGAAATCACAGCTTTTCCACAAAGAACATTAAAAAATATTAAGTGAGAAAAGTCATATCTAACAACTGGTAGCACATGATGAGAAAATAGAAAAATGTGTTTATTCTCAACTTGCCCTACTCTTAGAAAGAAAACAGATAAATGTAAACATTTTGTAGTCTGGTAAATTTGCTTTTCAGGCTATCAGGTTTTATTCAGAATTTTGGTTTTTTATACACTAACATCACAATGTTTCTTTAGATTTATAGAAAGTGATTCAGAGTTTAGAATACTCATTAACAATTTATATTAAAGGTGTGCAAATTCCTCCCATTTTTATGCTGCCTGCTTCTAATAAAATTTTTTTTTCTTATGAAATAAACTCAGGGCAACTTTCATAATTAGGATGTGCCAGAGACCCGACAAATCCCTAGACTGTTTTGATTGAACTGACTAATGACTGGTAACTCCGTCCAACAACAGATTTGACTGACTTTTAATGCAATTGATATGCTGAATTAAGTGACTAGATCAGTTGCTTTACAAACTATTCTGACTTAATTCTTGCAGTCAGGGTTTGTACTTATACAAGAGAGAAACAATCACATATGCGAAAAGGACATAGATGCAACATTGAAAAGACTGTGAAAGGCAGTAAGTACCTTACAGAAATTCAAGGACAGAAATATTTATATACACCCTAAATTATACCAGAAAGGAACATGAAGAAGTTTACAAAAACACAAATAATGCCCAAAAATGAGAGAAAATTTTAAAATGTGAAAAAAACTAAGCAAAGGGAAAACCAATGACAAGGTGACTAAAAACATGTAATATACAAAACACCATTGATTTGAATTCATTTCCTAAGGATAAGCAGTTACGCTTTAAGCTCTTCTATAGTCATATTGTTCAATTACAAATTCATGGAATACTTAAAATAAAATGAAACCAACAACCTAGGGAATTGAAAGAACAGGAAGAAAATTTGCCTAACTTCATAAAATAACAGGTAATATCCTTATGAACATCCTGACCATACCAGAGTCTCACAGGAATTTCAACATTCAATAACAGCTCAGTCCTCTGAGGAAAAGTCACCATTGTCTCCCTAAATTGCCAGAACCCCTGCTCTGCCCTTGTACCACAGAGCTTGTCTGGAGGTTCTAGTGGAGGAGCACAGCTCCCAGCATACCCTTGACTGAAGAACAGCTGTCTCTACTTGAGCTAGGCCATCCTCTTTGACTGAGCGGAGTTTTGGGGGGGACGCATGTGGAGCAGTGAAGGAGGGAGGGGATGCCTGTCTAGAAAGCCAGATCAGCCCAATCAATCCTGGTGATCAATAGGGTGATAGATGTGGCAGCGCGAGCACCCTTATGTCCTAATTCAACCTCTTCTTAATGCATTAACCAGTGTGGTCTTGTTAACACACAGGACAGATCACGTCTTTTTCCCCAAACACTGCTGCAGTACTTTCTTGTTACTCAGTGTGAAAGTTCTGTGCAAAACGACAAGGTCCTGGATCTCACTTTCTCTCTGGTCTCATCAGCCACTGCTCTCCCTTTTGATCAAGTCACCTTTTCAAAGGTGCCTTCCCTGACCAGTCTATTGAAAATTAAAACACTGTTCTCCACACCAACATATCGTATCTCTGTTTGGCTTATTTTTTTCCTTATCATTTAACATTATTTAATATGAATATGATTTGCTTTTTTTTTCTTATTTATTATCACTAGAATATAACCTCCAGTAGAAAGGGATTTTTTTTTATCTGTTTCCCTTTCATGACTATATAATTCACATATAGAAGCCTGCCACTCATTACTAAGTGCTCCACATATATTACTAAAATAAATTGACTCAATCAATGAATGGTGAGATAGGACTCTTTCAAAATACCCTTCAAAATAGACTGATGGCATCACACCAAGATAAAATGGGGGGGGGCAATATTTAAAAGAAGCATTCTAATATCATCCAGATATGATTCTGACAATGTTAATACCAGAGTTTTAGAATTGTGACCCTTAAGCATTTTTGGATCATGGAACTTGTTGAGAGCAATATACTACCAGAAGAAGGCACATACACCTAACAGTAGGGCTATAATTTCAAAGGGTTAACAAGCTCTAAATGTTATTCAAATCTATATAGATAAATAAATGGAGAGTACATTCCATAGATGATCTCTTATAATTGTACCCCATGAAATAATCATTGATAGACACTAAACATCAGGAGTTTGAGACAAGATTACCTAACAATCCCCTGGAAAGTAACCATTCTATTTTTATAGCTAACAGGAAGAATGTATCTTTGTAGAAATAGTTGAGGATCCTCTTATCTAAATGATACAGTTATGACATATGGATGTGCGGACAATAATTCAATTTGCATAATATAACAAACATAATAAGTATATTAAACATATACTAACTCTTCAATTATTACTGTAAACTTTAAACAGAATCTGTATTCTGGTGAATTATCCAATCAGGCTACTTCTATCACAGAGAATTCTTTGTGTAATTTTTATGTATCAAATTCTACTTAAATATACACAGAATGGTCTCAATTAGTGTTTGAGTGAGTGACTGAGCAGACAAGAAATTATTTACAACTAGCTCCAATGATCTTAAAAAGTCTCCAGATTTATAGGAAAGCCGATGAGTAAGAAAAGCAATTCTGACAATTCTGTTGCTTTGATGAACAAACTCAATGAGCTCCATCTGCCACTAGTTTTTGCTTTTACTTTTTGATGGAGAAGCATCCATCTATATTTCACTTTTTAAACATTTTATCTAATTGCAAATGAAAAACATTTTTTCAAGTCTATCTCTAGTAACCTTGTCATTTTTTTAAAGATTTATTCATTTATGCATACATGAGCTAGGGTACAGGCCAGAGATGCAGGGGTGAGAGGATTCACCAGAGACAGAGCGGGTAATAGAAAAGGCAAGCCGACCGAAAGACACTGCTGAGGGGAGCAGCAGGGGAGACAGGAGAGGTCTGACTTGCCTTGTTGGTTGCTCCCTGGCCAGCTGGGGATTGAACTCGTGCTGCAGAGGCTGCAGATTGCTTCATAGTGCGGTGCTTAACCCCTTGCGCCACCAGGGAGGCCCTAACTTTGTCATTTTTATGTCTACCTTTATTTCTTCTCTTAGGCTAGAAATTGGTCATTTTATTCCCATTAAGTAACTGTCAAAACCTAAATTACCTTTAAAATTAAAAGATATCGCCTATCATACTGGCATAAGCATGTGTCACTCTGAAAACATAATTTCACATATTTTAACTCCTGATATGATTGTAGTTATGTGACTTTGTTAAAAATTTTTGAAAATGCAGAGGGATAAGCTATGATTCACAGAGCTGGGTACCACTAAGTCAATCTAGTCAATAGGCATCTTACCTACAAAGTAACCTAAAATCTATACAAAAGTCAACCCATTTAATTATTAATTGAATATTTTGTTAAATGTACTATACAGTGTGATAGCCAAAGAAAAGGGAGGTTCCAGTTTCCCTGTTCCACCTTATGAAGGGTAGAGCTGGGCGGGGAGGTAAAACTAGAAATGGAGGAAGCAGCAGAGAGAGATGGGGAAGAGACCTGGAGGGGGCACATGGAGCAGATAAACAAGAGAAGTAGAAGCCGTGCTTGCTTCTCTGCCTTCTACTTATACTAGGGACTTGGGCACATGGAAGGAGATGCTCGAAATAGACAGA